TTTTAATTTTTCTTCTTTAAATAAAATTTAGTTTATACATTTATAACATCCAACATATTATTTTCAACAAAAGTCCGTATCAATAGGTTCTTCATATATTGCTGAAGATACTGATCAAATTGAGAAAACAACTTATTAAAGGGAATGTAAAAAAAAACCTTTTAGTTTTAAAACACAATTATAAGACTTTCCAACAAAAAAAAACTAAAAAATCAAAATAGAATAATTTTTTGGCTGTATCTTGTTATGGACAGGCAAAAGAACATTGCCAATAATATATTTAGATAAGCGAAACATTGAGAAGGGAAACATAGAAGAACAAATTTAACGGAAATACAGAAAAAAGACTAAAGTCACATTTATCAACAAATCAGGTTGTTACATGGGTTCGGCGTGGTCGAGTCGGCAAAAGCTCATGGTTACTAAACCGAAACGTCTCGAGTTCGTACCCTCTGACAGATGAGGCTCTTTAGCTGGGGACAACTCCAAAATCAAACAACTGCTGCCTTGTTGTTTGTTCTTGGTTGGACAAAAGCTATGGAAGCAACCCCAAAAAGAAATGCTGGCTGAAATCAGAGTCAATGGCGCATAACCAGTTGACACGTATACTAAATTGTGTTGTAGGAGATCCCTTCCAACGGTAAAACTAAGAACGAAGAATAAGTAGAAGAAGGTTGTTATATCACACTTTGACTCACGTAACTTTATCCCATGATTCATCACTGTTCACGTTCAGCTTAGTCCTATTGTTCCTTGATGTCAACGCCCAACATAGTGCTCCCTTTCATGCTATTTTTAACTACATTGTTGTGTGAGGGTGGAGTTCACAGGATCAACGCCAAACGTGGCGATCGTTCAGTGATATCTTATCAGATGCCCGAGGGACACGATGGTCGTATCACATTGGGGGAGGGGGGGGGTGGGATTAACAAAAGCTACAACACATACTTTTTTATACTTTGATTTGAATTTGTTTTCCTATTTACCCAGAGTGAAAATGGTGTAGGGTGGGGGGGGGGGTGGTTGGCTGACGTATTCTCTCGGAGAAATGCTGTAAAGAAACACTATATATTTGACATGAGTATATCTCCCTCTCAGTCAAATGTTCCATCTAGTGCCCACATCACGAAAACACTAATCTCACATTATACTTCTCTAGCTGCAGATCCTGCTATAAGAATGGCAAAGAAAATAACATGTTTTTTTTTTGGATAGTTATTGTCTAGAATAGTTTTTAAATGATAAAAATGTATGGAAAATAAGGGCCTTAAAAAAGCAAATGTTTAATTATAAAAATCATTTTATTGTTATTTATTTACCACAAAGTAAGCATCAAACGAATATGTTATCGACTCCGTTTGCTGTACAAACAGCACTGAACTTCAAAAATGACATTTTAGAAGTTGTGATTTACAAAGGAGCCTAAAGTTTGCTTTTTAATAATGAAAATAATTTGTAATCGAAACTCCTTTCTTTACAAAGTGTTGGTCTACTTGTACTAAGAGAGCACAACATCTACAATAAGTGCAGCATTTCAAAAGTATGAGTAAGAGAAGCATCTAATACTTGAAGTTAATGTGAATAACACATTTAGTTTCAAAACACACTGTCATTTTTTTTTTATTGTTCATTGTTTAACTACCCAAAAAATGTCTTCAAAAATTAATTTTATTTTGAAACAGCATCCTACCATTCTATGAGATTTTCGTTCAAGAATTTGTAAACTTTTTTTTGGGTTAAATACTACTAATAATAATTTAAATCTTCTTTTTCTTTGTATTGTAGCTAGCCATCGGTACCCGTTTTACGCAAATTATAGGCCTATATATTTTAAAATGTTGTACTTGTTTGAAAAAAATAATTTATGAAATAGTTATTGGTCAAAACGCAATGTGCTTTACTACACGCTGAACGATGTTAGTGACAAAGCAAAGAAATAACTAATTAGCTAAAAATCCGACACATTTAATATAACACAGGCACACACTGATTAAGTGACTTAAATGATTCCGTTAAAAATCTGGCTATTCAATGGTCATTATGTTGTTTTTAAGTAATTTGTATTAGTTTGACTGATAAAATTGTTTATATTTCATAGCGTACGTCTTGATGAGTAGATCTATAGATCTAGATCTAAATCAAATTTGAATGAAGTAGTTCCTTTCTTTATAGTCTAAAATCGGAAGATTCACATATAAAAAATAAATAAATAAAATTACGTTTGACTTGGTGTGGCTCGATCCCGCACCACCTGCGTGGCATTAAGTACACGATCATCTTAGCTATTAACGCACCTTATAAAACACGGAGAATGAAAGACGTATTTAAAAAACTTAACTTACGCGAATATGCCTATTCTTTCAAACTAATTTTTTATCCCAAATTAGCTAGTTCCATAGCTAAACAAACAAAAATTTCTATAAAATAATTAAGGCCTGAAAAATTTTAATATAGAAATTTATTTTTGGAATAGATTCTAGAGTAGATAGAGTCTAAATCTAGATCTTAGCGACTTAGCGTCTACGTCTGGTTTTTGCGCAGATTTAGATCTAGTCTAGATCTAGAATCTCTAGTCTAGATCTAGAATCCAAATAGAACAAATAAATTTTATAAGTTTAGCGTACGTAGATCTAAATCAAATTTGATTTATTCTAAACTAGACAGATGACGTCATTAGTTAATGTATAAACATTAGTGACGTCATTGTTTCATGGGTTCTTTTTCACAGCTATAAACACTTTTCCTGTTGCATAATTAAAATTATTTTTCTACATTCTAATATGACTTTATTTTTTATTTTTCTTCTTTAAATAAAATGTTGGTTATACATTTAAAACATCTACCATATTATTTTTAACAAAAGTCCGTATCAAGTTCTCTATATATCGCTGAAGATTCTGATGTGATACCCTGCGAAAATATTTTTGCGGACAGAGAGAGAGAGAGAGAGAGAGAGAGAAGTGCGCACATGGGCTTTTGTAATATTGTTTCCATACAATGTTATCCTTGTGATGTTTTAAATACAAATAATTGTGATATAAGAAATGAGAGAAATTTATTTTCCTCATTTAATTACTATGTATAGATCTACACGTTGGGGGGGGGGGGGGGTCGCCCATAAATAACGTCACACTCGTAGGGGGTCGGGGGTCGGTAATTTTGTGACGATGTGTGATGAGGGGGAAGGGGGGGGGGGTGGGGTCAGATGGTGTGACGTCACACGTTTGCATTATAAAAAAGCAATGTTAGAAAACTAGTTTTAGCCGTTATTTCGCGTTTTAGAAAACGGTTTTCAATAAATTGTAATAGGATTGATCAAAATACTCTATATTGACAGAATTCTGACAAGATTATGGAAAAATATCAATGTTTTAAGAAAAATCCAACAGCAATTTGAAGGAGGCTTTCCTGTGGAGGTGTGACTTCATTTTAGGGGGATCTGGCTTTTTGTGACGATGTGTGACGGAGGGGAGGGGCCGAGGTAAAAATCGTCAAAAAAAGGCGTGACGTTATTTATGGATGACCCCTTGTTATCGTATTGTCATGTCTTCACAACTGTATAAAAGTTAAAAAAATATTTTTTTAAAAATTTAAATGTTTTTAAAAAAGAATTCTGAAGAAATAATATGGTTATAACTGATTGAAATGATGAATATTACAATTTTGTTGTCACATTTCTATCTACATTTTATCCATGCTTACTTCTTCTTCTTCTTCGTTCTTAATTTTTAGTGTTGGAAGAGATCGAGCCTTATCTGTCAGAGGATTTGAACTCGAAACTTTTTCGAATTTGACAACCGAGAGCTTTGCCGACTCGACCACGCCTAAACACAATTAAGTATACCTGTCAACTTGTTATGCGCCATTGAGGCCATTGACTACGATTTCAGCCTACTTTTCTTTTTCGATTTACTACCATAGCCTTTGTCCAACCAATTACAAACTACAAAGTAGCAGTTGTTTGATTTTGGAGTTGTCTCTCCTAAAAGAGAGTGTTCGAACTCGAGACTTTTCGGTTTAGCAACCACGAGCTTTACCGACTCGATCACTATTATTATTATACTATTATTTTTCTTTAGTCCCAACATTATTTCAACTCTCGTTATGAGCTAACAAACCCCAACCCATCCCACCAAAGATTAGGTGTTTTTCTACTACGTCAATCCCTACCCAACTCCCCATAGCACATTGAATATTAAAAGTATTTCAATTTTCAGATTAAAATAAAAATAAAAAATTAGACGTTTTGTGTAATGTATACGTAAACCACTTTTATTGAATGAAAGTACATGTTGGAATTAAATATTACTATTGTAAATCTGTATCAATCCTCAGACGCCGATGTTGAAAACGTCAATACTAAAGTGTACTTGGCAAGGCAAACTGATGCTATACATTAATTGTCTAATTTTTCAAAAGTGCATAAAAACTTATTAGTAACAATCTTTTATGTAATAATGCACTTAGAAGCAGAAAATAAATAATTATATATATATATATATATATATATATATATATATATATATATATATATATATATATATATATATATATATTCTTTTTTAGCTTTTCTTGACTTATCATCAGCACCTTCCTTACTGACGAGCTAAATATGGCGTCAAGATAAATTGGCCTATAACTGAAAACACCGGAACATAACTGCTGTTGCTGTTTGCTGTTTAGAGTCGACAAAAGATCCATGTTCTTAAACTGGTCCTACAATTTTTTTAAAACTTTTTCTAACTTAAGTTTTAAAATTTATAAACTTCAGCCTTTAAAATATAATATATTGCAAAAGCTGAAGTTTTGTATTAGAAAATGTTGCTCTAGCACTTTGTGAGGGTTTCTTATATTTATTACTTCTTGAATTACCGGTATTGCTTTATGTCTGTTGTCAATATAATGTGATGAAATAATTTAGTATTTATGTCGTTTATAAGTTTAAAAATAAACAAAAATTTGTTAGACAACTGTAAGATTTAAAACAAATTACAAAAGTAGCTTTAGACTATTTTATTTCTTTCAGACAAAAAGAGACTAAATTATTTCGTTAAATTGGTCTTATTTTCATCTCAGTGCTGGTAACCGAAGATGAATCCCCAGTTATTTTGTTCCACGTAACAGCCTTGAACTTCTCAGTACTTCCCCATCTGCCGTTGAGATTCACTTCGTGACAGGCGTTGTACCACCAAGCACCTTCAAATGACTTTGCGCAGTTTCCGGTTGACCTGTCATTGTCCCTGTCAAAAGTGGAAAATGCCATGTCGTGGTGTTTCACGGTTAGACCATCTCCAGCGTTCCCCCCAGAATAGCCGCTGATCTTCAACTTGTAACGTTCCGCCTCTCCAAACACGCGAAAACTTCTGTATCTCGCGTAGTAATTGTTGCCGTTATATGTGAATAAAACCATCAGCTCGTATCGTCTTAGCATCGTCATACGGTGAATAATCTCGTTGCCCAGCCAAAACTCCCCGACACCCACATCTCCAAACCCATACTTGTATTCCTCCCAACCTCTATAAAAATCTAGATTTCCAGTTGTCCTTCTCTGTATCACCGTCCAGCCCCCGCCGTCTTCTGTGTCACACATCACTTCAACTCCAGTAGACAGGATAGCCACGACACTGGCGGAGAAGCCGGCAACATTCTTGCAAGTGTTGAGGTCAAGTTGGTGATCAACAATTTCACGGCGTGATATGGTGCTGTTGTAATAGTCATTGTTGCTGTTCTCTAAAAAATGAAAAAAATTGCTTTACATAATAATTGGCAAAACTGATAAGCAAGTCTTCTGTTTACAGTGTAAACACTGTTTTATTACGTATGTTTACGTACATTATAAAAGTTAAACATATAAGAATAACATGCAATCTCTGATATTGTCTATTTTTTTTTAAATCGCGTGGGGGTAACAAGAAAAGGTATTGATCATGTGACCACTAGAATGAATAACAAATTGGTCACAGGATTTTGGTACAGATTTGACCTCTGATGTCTAGAGAGGAAGCCAATAAATTGGGTCAAATCTGGCCCTTCTCAACTTGCTGCTTAAGTCTTGTGTCTTGTTTTTTCAAGACGCAACATCCAATCGTCTATCTGGCTACGAGGCCATTTATATGTGTATAACATACATCTGCAAATTATTTCACATACTTCTACATATACCTACTTCTGCTTCTGTCCATGCCTATGCTTATAGAGCTGGTAAGTAGGTCACCAACCAATTATATGGCTCATGGAGGTTTTATTGAGCCGTTATACTGGTTGGTGACCTACTTACCAGCCCTATACCTATTCTTATGCACAATCACTAACGTATCTCCATACACAAGAACTCAAGACATGTTAAAATAAAATACTCCTAGACAAAATATTTCCTGTGCCATATTTATATATGTAATTAAATTGAAAGTCTCGAGTTCGAATCCTAGTCCAAGTATCTAGAACGTTCTCAAGTCCATCCAGCTCTGATGGGTAGCTAACTCATGTTAAGGAAAATAAATGCGGCTGGGCAAGAAACATAGAAACTCTACTTCCTCTGGCATAAGGATCTCTAGGTCTTTAAACGCACACGCAAAAGAACAAGCGCATATGTTTCCCTAATGTGTTTCCGATTTCGGTTACATTTCCATTTCAAGTTAACTCTCAGTTAACAAAGATTATTACAAGTCACAGCACACGTTGCTTGACATGTAGTCGCATCAACTAGTCAGACAAAATACTTATCTAATTCTTGCGTGGTACTCACCTGAACAGATAGCAGAGACAAGGCACCCCAGGACACAAAGTTGCAGGAGCATTTGAAAGTTTCCTCAGCCAAACAGAGAGAGCGCTTGTTGACTAGGTCGACTCTTTGTATTTATACACAAGGCCTATTTTTATTTTTTTATTTTTTTAATCAGGGGCGAAGTCATTCGGCCATCAAGCAATAAACAACATATTATAAGAAATACTTATATGTAAAATGTTAAATAGTAAATCCGCACTACCTATCTTTAAAATTTAACGCGCCCTCTGCATCGCCCCACTGTATAACAAATCCCTATATACGTGTTTTCACTGTCGAGCTAAGTCAAAAAATGTGTTACTGTTTGTCTTTATTTGTCTAATCTGTAATCACACTGTTGTGTGCTGACGAAGACCTTGGGTCGAAACGTCCATAGTACTTGTAACTGTCTTTAACTTGTGAGGTAACTAATACTATCTGTTTTATTACTAATTACATTAACCTCACTGCAGCTACCATTTGTTTGTTGTTTTATAACTAATCCCTAAGTGACTGTATTGTGACTCCGCCATCAAGATCATCCTATCGTGACCCCAAGTAATGTTAAATTTGTGGTTAATTTTCGGGATCCGGTTGTTTTGAAAAGTTCCAGGTGAAGTACCGATTTGGCTCGAATTGTTTTTCGGGTTAACAAGTTTTGTTTCTGTCGAAATTTCCGTACACCCTTAAATATCCGGATCAGGTTAAATTTCAAGAAACAGTTTAAATTTTACGGTTTTATTTCATTTCCTGGTAAAATTCCGTTTCCGGTTGAATTGTTTGTTTCCTGTTAGATTTGGTCCCGTTAAAATTCTCAACTTCTGATTACAGGTTTGAGTTTTTATTTAGGTTAATGTATAGGTGACTTTTTAATTAAGTTATAAATGCAGTTAAAGTTTTAGGTTCCAGTTTCAATTAAAGTCTCAATTCAGCGTTAAATTTTTGTTTTCGCTTAACCTCCGATATACTTTCCGGTACCCAATAAAGTTTCGTTTCCACATAAATTAACGTTTCCATTTTAATTTTTGTTCCAGATACATTTTCGGCACCAGTTTTAAATATTTCAATTTAGTTTGGAAAAATGAAAAGAAATACTGTCAGCCTAACGCCCGTTGAATTTCCCCTTCAACGGTCCAAATATATAGTATATAAAATTATTTTACTAAATAAATAAATATACTAATCTTTGTTACCGCTAAAATTTTCACTTTCAGTTGAAGTGTTAGGTTTTTTTTCGCGGTTTAAGTTCCTGTTTCAGTAAAAATTTCCAGTTTCTTATAAAAATTCCTTATCCGTTTCGAGTAAAATTACGTATTCCGGTTAAATTTTGGTTCCTGATAAATTTTCGGTTTTTGTTCAGAGATTTAGTTTTAGGTTCAGCTATGCGTGTCGGTTAAAGTTATGTTTCAATTTCCGGTTCTGTTAATGCTCAAGTTCCCGTTAAAACAGCGGTTCTCGTACACGTTTTTTTTTTCCAGGTTAATTAAGTTCCAGTTTCTGTTCCGTTTAAATTTTGTTTTCAATTATATTGCCATTTCAGTTTTAAAGTTCCAATTTAGGTTAAATTGACATTTTCCGGTGAAATTTAAGGTTCCGGCTAGTTTTAGTGTAATATGCGGTCCCGGATTAAAGTGATACCAGATAATTTATCGGTTCTGGTTTCAGATAGATATCCGGTTCTGGATCAAAGGTTTTGATTAAGATTTAGATTGATGTGTATATATAAGTTTATTGGTTTAAAGAAGAAAAAAAAACACTATCAGCACATAGCTGATATATATATATATATATATATATATATATATATATATATATATATATATATATATATATATATATATATATATATATATATATATATAATGTTAATGCAATGTTTGAAACTGCTCATTAAACACAAATTTAACTGAAAAGTGTCTACGCCCCTGTTTCTCTACAGCCTCACCCTGAATCTCGCCATGATATTTTATCAGCTTATTGCTAATCTCTTGGATAAGGGAGCCTGATTCGTGAGCATGATGGTAGCAAACAAAAAATTTATAATATTACTAACCCGCAACACTGATTAACACTGAGATTTTTATCATGCCCCGTATATATATTAAAATTATACAAGGAATTTAAGTTTACTGAAACCCGACACGCCAACGAAGGCATGCGGGTAAGCACCGGGTGACACCCGAGGAAGAGACGCCAATAACTTTTTAGATGTGACAAGTGTACTAAAGCTTGATATGGGTTGGATCTTGCTGAACGGATTCCGCATCATTGGATTAAACAGACATGCCCAACAATGTTGTTTGTAACAAAAGGATTATTCATATTAAAGGATTCATATAAAAGGATTATAATATTATTATTATTAGTCATAGGTGTTTATTCTGGGTGGGTCGTGTGGCTGGGATACTCGTGTGGCTGGGAAATGTGGTCCTGTGTCTAGGGCCCTTTAGTGCCGTGTGGCTGAGACATGTGGTCCTGTGTCTAGGGCCCGTTAGTTCCGTGTGGCTGAGACATGTGGTCCTGTGTCTAGGGCCCGTTAGTTCCGTGTGGCTGAGACATGTGGTCCTGTGTCTAGGGCCCGTTAGTTCCGTGTGGCTGAGACATGTGGTCCTGTGTCTAGGGCCCGTTAGTTCCGTGTGGCTGAGACATGTGGTCCTGTGTCTAGGGCCCGTTAGTTCCGTGTGGCTGAGACATGTGGTCCTGTGTCTAGGGCCCGTTAGTTCCGTGTGGCTGAGACATGTGGTCCTGTGTCTAGGGCCCGTTAGTTCCGTGTGGCTGAGACATGTGGTCCTGTGTCTAGGGCCCGTTAGTTCCGTGTGGCTGAGACATGTGGTCCTGTGTCTAGGGCCCGTTAGTTCCGTGTGGCTGAGACATGTGGTCCTGTGTCTAGGGCCCGTTAGTTCCGTGTGGCTGAGACATGTGGTCCTGTGTCTAGGGCCCGTTAGTTCCGTGTGGCTGAGACATGTGGTCCTGTGTCTAGGGCCCGTTAGTTCCGTGTGGCTGATGATGTCGACTCTCTAAACTTGGTGTTATAAAGCTGCAATGCATTTGCTAATAGCACGACAACTTTTAGTGAAAGTATTGGTCTCGACCATTTTAAGTAGGCCTACATCTGAGGCAATATGCAGTACATGGACTATCAAAAAAAAAATACTGGTACAGAAATCTTGTAACCAGAGTTACAGTCAATATTCAATCTTGAAAGCACAGTGTTTTCATACCTAGGTTTAAAATATACAAGGCTTTATGTTTGTGGGGCACAGATGAATTACTGCGCGGTGTGCGGTACGCGACTGTTTATAATTTGAATAAACTTTGGTTATAAGCGAAATTAATTAAATTTTAATAACACTTATCGTTGAGATGTCCAAACTAGTATGTTGATGCGTGCGTAAACTTGTATTTATTTATTTAGATGCTGTTATCAAAATGGGGTAAATGTGGTCGATTCGATAAAGTTCATGGCTGCTAAACCAAAAAGTCCTGAGTTCAAACAGCCGTGGACAGCGAACAACTAGGAGAGAAATCTCTGAAATAAAACAACTGCCATATTGTTATTTTTTAAACATTACAATTAGGAACGAAGAACAAGAAGAAGATTTACAAAATCTGATTTTAATGTTATTTGCGTGATGTGATTACAAATTTTGTTTAATTAACAAAATTACATTTTAAATTAGTGCAATTCAACCTAAAAGAGATTGCGTGGCTTAGCGGCACAACGCTAGACATCTATTCCCAAAGTTTCGCGTTCGAATCCGGGTTCAATTCAGCAGAACGGCTCGAGTCCATCCAGCACTCATAGCAGCTAGGTGTTGAGCTGACTGCAATATCCCATCGTATGCCATCGTATGCCGAGGTCACAGAAATAGGTGAACTCTGTTTCACTTGTCCCATGGAAGTTAGGTTAAAAAAGCGAGCTTTACTTTTACAATTCAACTTTGGTAAAAAAAAAAAAATCCAGCAAAACCTCATTTTAAAAATTGTTTTTTTTTACGTTTATTGACTGAGATTCTGGAAGTATTCTGAGGCCAACTTCTCTAAAGCTTTTCTAGAATGTTTGCCTGTGGAGGTTTGCGGAAATGTGTCCAGGAAAAAGAATTTTTTAGGCAGTCCGTCATCATTGCCGGCAATTTTGGTGAAGATTTTGTTACAAAACTCTTCCAGGTCACCGGCGGTCAGGTTTGAGTTTTTTTCCTTGATAACACAGACACATATTTCCTGGAACTTGACCGGGTGGGGAATCCCTGCAAGTGTGACGTATATATATATATATATATATATATATATATATATATATATATATATATATATATATATATATATATATATATATATATATATATATATATATATATATATATATATATATATATATATATATATATTGGTATTAAACCAAAATCCTTCCCTAAAGGACAACAACTTAAAGACTGGGCTTTGGGAGACATGAAAGAAGACCGCAGGTAAGTCTGAGTGAAGCAGATCAATGTGCAACACAGTATGGATATATATATATATATATATATATATATATATATATATATATATATATATATATATATATATATATATATATATATATATATATATATATAATTATATATGTACATATATATAGCGTACCCGTCGCGCGTGTTGCTGCGATCTCATACTGATACTTTATAAACTAGCTTAAATCAGAAGTTTCAAGTTGCAACACATACCAACAACTACCACAGAAGCGACACCAGGACACTGCTGTATTCTCTCCTCCAACCACTGGGGGTACAAAACACCTGGACCGCTGATGATGATGTCGGAGGTCCGGCCTATGACGTGAATTCCTCCAATGTCACTGTCAAATACAAGAACTATTTTATTTACATTCGTCAGATAAATGGTTCCTTATTGTATATTATGTTTGGGCCTATATGAATACGATTGAATATATGTAAAGTCAATAGAAATGTATTAAGTAATATTTTTATAGTAAATAGTATATAATTTCATGTCTGTAAAGTTAATATAAATGATTCATTTATGTATACTTCTTAGCTGATTGTTTGTCCGTTTACAAGAAACTAGTTTTTATACTCGTTATAAGAAATACCTTCTACATTCTTTAAACACCAGCTGAATTTAACTTACTCAATGTAACCCACATCATTCACGTCAAACCACCCATCTTATGTTTAACTTACTCAATGTACCCCACATCACTCGAGTCAAACCACCCATCTTATGTTTAACTTACTCAATGTACCCCACATCACTAGAGTTAAACCATCCATCTTATGTTTAACTTACTCAATGTACCCCACATCACTCGAGTCAAACCACCCATCTTATGTTTAACTTACTCAATGTACCCCACATCACTAGAGTCAAACCATCCATCTTATGTTTAACTTACTCAATGTACCCCACATCACTCGAGTTAAACCATCCATCTTATGTTTAACTTACTCAATGTACACATCACTCAAGTCAAACCATCCATCTTGTGTTTAACTTACTCAATGTACCCCACATCACTCAAGTCAAACCATCCATCTTATGTTTAACTTACTCAATGTACACATCACTCAAGTCAAACCATCCATCTTATGTTTAACTTACTCAATGTACCCCACATCACTAGAGTCGAACCACCCATCTTCTGTAAAAACCCCGCTGGTGGTATAATCAACATTCATGTAGTGACGCAGAACATTTCCTCCTGAGAGATACAAAAGTTTTGAAGTTTTAATTTTTTTTTATAAACTAACAGAATTTATTCTCCATTTTTTTTTCCTGACGGAGAGTTAGAACCGTAGAGCTTACGATTGCTAACCAGAAAGTCCAGGCTCTTTGAGTCTACTCAGATCCAATAGGTACCTAGCTCATTTGAGTGAAACTAAAAGTAGCTTGGCATAGCGCTAAACACACTATCCCCTTGAAACAGATGAACTCTATTTCATCTTCTGCGTGTGCATTGAGCATGAACAGGAAAAGATCATGATTACAATACTATATATAACTTGCTTACTCTGTCTGTTGACAGTCTATGTCGACAGTCTGTCTGTCGTCAGAGATCGGAACGAGCAAACGGAATTTCTGGCACTTCTAACTGACGGATTCGTTTCAAAGTTGGCATGGGTGTTCATACTTGAAGACAGTGCACTCTGACATCAAATTCGGCTTAATTAGATGCCTAATTAGTACTTTTATGAATTAATTAAAACTTTCTGAAATTAGTAGGCAGGCTTATACGCGCCATATCCTGTTCATTTGGTGCACAATAGTTTTTAGTCAAGCATCTTTATTGTATTACAAATATTAAAGTAATGAAAAAAATTGAATAAAAAACGTTTTTATAATAAGCTTTAATTTAATAATGTACTAAAAAGGAGAAAAGAAATGAATTTCTTTGAAACATACAATAATACTCTACCATTTAAATAACTGTAAAGAAAAGCGTGGGTATCTTCCTAAATATTAGTAAATGTATCCAATAAATAATATAGTATTTACAGTTATTTGAATAGTAATGTATTATTATATATTTAAAGAAAATTATTTATTTTTTCCTTTTTAGTGCATTATTACATAAAAGTTTGTTATTAAAACGTTCTTGATGCTATTTTTTAAAACTTCGTAATTGCAGGTCAATCAATAATCAGATACTTTTACACAACTTCCAAAGATGTACATTGTATCCTAACCTTTGAGAAACAGTTTTCCCACTTTGTTTGGGCTGGTAATTGTCAATTTAGTCTTCTCGTCAACAATTTTCATTTGGATATCACTCATTAGTTTGTCACCAGCATAGCAATCTTTGACTGTGTCCTGATGATCAGTATATCAGAAGAATACAGCGTTATTTACTATAGTATTTAGTAAATATATATCTTTTTAAATAATATAGCATTCTATTGATGTTTAAATTAGTACCAGTGTCAGAAAATGGTTGTAATAACATACGAGTTATGTTTTCATAAAGTTAGATGCATTATGATACCTCTCTGGACCTTGCTGATATAGTTCAAAGTAATACTAAGCAATACGTTTGATTCTAACTTTGGCTGCAGAAGCTACTGAAAGGAAAGGTGGTAATTCTATCAGTTATTTGGATAGTGGCCATAAGATTGTGGCTTCAAAATGGATGGGTTTTTTTCAATGCTGATTGTGAGGGGTTATTTTTTTTTTTATTTGAGTACCATATGGCTCCACTTGTCAGACTTTTGCTCTTGCTTGTAATTGCCCAATGCCTTATGGCGTTAGATCGCAAACCACCCCATACCTTCAATCAGCTTTTGTGCTGTTTAGACCCAGCTGTAGACTAATAAACTGGATGATCTCGCATTAAAGTTTTGTTTAATGGAATAACCTGAGTTTTGCGTTCCATTTGAAAATAATTTATTACATTTGTTTTTTTTTTGCATTTATTTTTGACACTTTTGTCATGATTGTAATACAATTAATTAAATTACATAATCTAAACCTTGCTCACCAAAAATCTGTTCTATGAACTAATAAACAAAGAAGTTATACTTTTCAATTATATATTCATTATATTATATTTCTTTATATGGGCGCAAAGAAAATTCTTTTTTTTAAGCAAATGCGAAAACCAGAAACGTTTCTAAAAATAGCTTGACGTCCTACACAGACATCCCCATACTCATATATTAACTGTAATGTTGGTTACAAACTATCACAAACTGACTTCCTCTTCCCATCATAGAAGTATCAGTTTTCAAAAGACATTCCATTTTAGCTGACCGTCTCCGTGAAGCCAACTTTTTAGCCATACATGTACACAAATAGAGTAACTTAAAATACTCAACCAAGAAGAAAAGGTTTAAATTATTACCTTATTATCACGTGTAACAAATCCAGTGCTCACAAAACCAGCATCCGTCGATCCGTAGACAATCATTATTTCATCACAGATTACATCGACCACACTAAACACACTCTGTGAAGCAAAAATCAATTCTCTCATCTCTCTCTCTCTATAGATATACGTATAAATCTCTCTCTCTATATATATATATACGTATAAATCTATACATTTATACATCATTAATGTCGATATGTAATAAATATATATATATATATATAATTATATGTAGGCTATTTATATATAAACAATATTATCGAAATGTCATTTATGCAATTATTAGTTGTTTATGTGTTTACCTTTTTCAAAGGTTGGGCGCCACATAAAACTCTTTTTATACGGCTTGTTAGTGTGCCATTGTAGAAAGCCTGATTTAGAAAAAAAAGTTCAAAATATGCATAGATATAGACATACTTCAACTGTTGACAATTTCTTCTATAAATTTTTCTTCTACTTGGTAACAAACTTCATTCATTATGTAACAAGTAAACAAAAGAATTTCAACAAAGTTGCGGATTTTTTTACAATTGCATTTTGGGGTCAATCATAAAACAAGAACACGCTTTTAAAAACTATTTTCACTCTCCCTCCACCCCCCCCCCCCCCCATCCTCGTATATCGTCACAAACAGCAATACCCCACCAAACCCTAAAATAACATCATAACTGAGCCGACCAGTCCCCTCAAAAATTGCAATTTTTTAAAGGGGCAATTTGTTTCTAAAATATTTACTGAGCTGGGGTCAACATTGAATATTCTGATCAAGTTTTTTTTATTACAATTTCTTAAAAAAAAATATTTTTTTTAAAAAATCAGACTCTTGACTGAAATTTAGTTTTTAACAAGAATTTATAAAATGCAAAAGTAAATCGTCATATTTTTCTAAACCTTACCCCCTCCCCCATACGAGTGTGAAGTGTTTAATGGACGACATAATTATTCTAACACTTTTATTTTTATTTATTTTTTAAGCCCATGTTCTTTGGTTCTAGGAACGGCGTGGTCGGGTGGTAGAGGGCACGAACGCTAATATGAAAGACAAGGGTTTGTTTCCCAGACATGGGTCTGTAAAATATCACTGAGTCCGCCCAGCTCTGATTGATACCTAACTCAAGTAAGAGAAATAATGGCGTCTGGTCATAGAACTGACCACACTGTCCTTCCATAAGAATAAGTTGAAGCGACAGATGAACTCTACTTCAACTCCCTTAGTGTGACTGTCAGGTACAAAATATAAGTTGACTATTTATATTTATTCGCGTATGATATCTATATCAAAATGTTTGAGAGTATCAAATGTTTTAATATACTTAAAAAAAAAAATATGACCCATGTTGTTTAATTGAAAATTATTTTTTTTTGCCAATAATTCTTTTGGTGTCATTTAAAACGTATGCCTTCTTACAACTTCGTTTTAAATGTTATAATCAGAGTTTCTTCCAGGCATCTCTTCGGTGGAGCCCCCCCCCACCTCTCAGAAGAAAGTCTACCGCCCCTTCCCCCCGAACATGATGGAATTTATGTAGTAAACATTTACTTTTACTAGTGTCCGCCCCCCCCCCCCCCCCCACGAAAATATCAAGTGCACCACCGGAGAAATAAACCGGGAGTGATCTCCCCAAAACTTTCTCGAATATTCTTATATAAAATAACAGGGGATGGGAACTCGGGCTATATACATGATTTTTAATCCATTTTAAATACTTAAAGTTTTAAAAATAGAATAAAATCTCGTAGACAAAAGAATTGCACACCAAGTGAACGCCAAATAAAAAAATGCATACTAGTGCGCAATATTATTAGTACTTTAAAAATTTACATTAGTTTTTTGAGAAATCGGAAGTAGCGTAAATTACTACTTCCGGTCAACGGAAATTACTCAAAATTTAACAGAAGATAGAAAATTAGATCTCTTACTTACATGGGAAATTTCATTTATCTATCTGAAATAGTACTCAAGTTATAGGCTTTTGAAAAATTCAAAGTAGGAAAAGTACCACTTCCGGTTATCGGAAATCGCTCGAAAGTTGATACGGATCTACGATTTTGATAAAATACTTATATATGAAATTCCATGAACCTAGCTGTAACGGCACTCAAGTTATCGTGTTTACACACGGACACACAGACAGACAGACACACAGGCACACAGACAGACGGACAAGATTGCAAAATTATGTTTTTCCGTATCAGTGAGGTGTAAAAATCTCGATTTTGTTTTTGCACGATTACAAGACTTTCTCTACACTTCTTATATACGAGAAAGTAAAAAGTCTTGAAGAAACACTGGTTATAATTCAACACTGTGTAACGCCAGGCCGAACTTATTCCACCTGTTTAACGACCACAACTTCTGCGGGAACCAGAACGGCAGCCGTCGCTCCCTCCTTGCAGGCAAAGTTCCACACATCAACAACGTTCAGTTTGACGGCAGTATCTTTGTATTCTTGTACGATGGTGGTGGAGCCAACGGCGAGGTAAAAACTTGGAAAACCACCGATCCACTCCATTTCTCGGTTGTTGAGAACTATGGCGTCGTCTCGTGGGATGGAATCTACAAGTGCTAAACATTCCCTGTCAAATACACGAGTTTAGCAAGGAAAAAGTTTAGCAATGGATGAGTTTTACAAAGGACGAGTTTAGCAATGGATGAGTTTAGCAAAGGATGAGTTTAGCAATGGATGAGTTTAGCAAAGGATGGGTTTAACAAAGTATGAGTTTAGCAAAGGATAAGTTTAGTAAAGGATGAGTTTGGCAAAGGATCAGTTTAGCAATGGGTGAGTTTAGCAAAGAATGTGTTTAGCAATGGATGAATTTAGCAATGTTTGAGTTTAGCAATGGATGAATTTAGCAATGAATGAGTTTAGCAATGGATGAGTTTAGCAATGGATGAGTTTAGCAATGGATGAGTTTAGCAATGAATGAGTTTAGCAATGGATGAATTTAGCAATGTTTGAGTTTAGCAAAGAATGGCTTTAACGCTTGTATTATGTAGGCCTACATGGACCTTAAAATTATAAAGTTTATTCTTTTATGGGGTTGTTGTTGTTAGGTTAAATGAATAAAATATATTAAAAAGAACAAATATACGATGAAGCTTGTTTTATTGTAAAATATTTCTTCACACATTCACTAAAAGTGAAATATGATATTATATTTGTCTTTTTTAGGGAAAACATTGTTTTAAAGTTGTATTTTCTTGTAGTCATACGCTAAAGGTTAACAATTCATAAGGCCAAATGACTTCTCTTCCTGTTTCATTCATCACTCGTTTACAATGCCATAGATGTTTGAAATTTGTCTAGATGAAATGATTTAAACAAGGAAACAAGATCACATGTTTTTGATAAAATTGACATTTGCTCATTAAATCTTTTATTTCTTAATGCGGTACTAACACCTTTTAGCTATCCAACCCGAACATTTCGGACTGTGACAGTCTACGGTTATCCTTTTTCTTACGTTTTCTTTAACTTGCTTTCGCGTCTGTTTTTCCAATCAAATCTTGCGATCGAAATTTCGGGCACTTCCCAGTTAGCTAGCGCGCTGAAATTTTCAGGGAAGCTTTGTTTCCGATGACAATACAATTTTCAGTTATTATTATTACTAAATTGATCCATGGAAAAATTTTATTGATCATTTTAGACCCCTATATATTTGTACAAAAAAGGGACATAACCTAGTAATTGTAATTTGATGAAAACAAGGTTCGGTACTTTCCCTCTTGTGGCTTACTGAAGGAGCGAGCACGCGATTGCCTGAGCAGTGGTCACGCGGTGTTTGTGTACAAACCTATGCAAATCTGACAGAAGAAACGTCGATTGGAAAAGGCTCGTGTTTTTTTACGAGTTGTCTTCGTTTACACAAAAAAGTGAATGCGAGAAGATAAAATCAATAGCAAGATTTGAATGCAAACAAACAGACAAAGACTAAAAAGTAGAAAATAATTATCATTAAAAAAAGTTTTTAAAAACCCACGTCTTCTGATTGAACTAAAAAGTAGAAAATAAATGCTATACATCACAATAATGCAAGCGATCACTCTACTATAAGCGATCAAAAACGTGGGGCGCCGTGATTTTCTTACAGTTTCTAATACTGTTGACTCTCTACAAGCTCCCTAATAAAAGTCAATAGTATTATCTAATCAATAGTAATATAACTTTTACATCTTATATTAACAATGACCGATAAAAAACTTTTACTTCGGCGCCCCACGTTTTTCATCGCTTATAGTAGAGTGATCGCTTGCATTATTGTGATGTATAGCATTTATTTTCTACTTTTTAGTTCAATCAGAAAACGTTGTTTTTTAAAAACATTTTTAATGATAATTATATTGCTATACAAACAGTTAAAATAATTTTTAAAATCTACAGGTACACCAGAGGCGTAGCAAACTATTCTGGCGCTCAGGGCGGACTAAAAATTTTGCGCCCCCCTCACTCCTATTTCTATTCATAATTATTTATGTCTGTAAAAAAGCGCCCCCCCCCCCCTCCAGTTGGAATAGTTTGTGGCGATTCTTACCATTTACTATCCCATAAGATTTTCTATTTCGGTGCCACAAATTTGATATAGAAAACAGTTAAATAAGTGTTTATAGCCTTGTAGTTGTTTATTTTTGTTACTTTGTGCATAATTCAATACTTTAGATTGAAAATGAGTTTTAAATTCATATTTATAGATCTTTTGTAGCTCCCTAAGGGGCGGACTGCTAACCTGTAAGTATCGAGTTCGAATCCGGGTTCAACTCAGTAGACCGTCCCTGAGTCCACCCAACTCTGATGGGTACCCAACTCACGCTAGGGAAAGTAGAGGCGGCTGAGCATAGTGCTGACGACACTATCTCTTCATATGCCGAGGTCAGAGAAACCTTATAGACCGTCCGGTTTGAAAGGGAACTTTACTACTTAAGGGGCGGTGCCCGGAGCGCCCTCCCCTAGCTACGCCACAGAGCTAGACCAGCTGTGTCTGCGCACCTGTGTGTTCGTGGCACCATCTTCGAGTAACTGGTACTACCAGACGTCAAGAAAATGTAAGCCTCGTCATCAGCCGTGACGTCAGCCTCGTAGAAGTCTTCGTCTGCTAGACTGGACAGGAAAGACGTGTGGTCTTCGTGGCTGGTCAGCTGGTACACGATCAGCTGTTTCAGACATGGCGCCTTCTCGCACTGCACTGGGATGATGGTTTCTATGCTGTAACAGCACGTTGTGTAAAGATAAACAATGGATTCGTTCTTTTAAAGATACAAAAAATAACTGCTGTAGAAATATAATTATATTTTTTAAAACAAAAAATTATATTTATATATAGGCCTACGATATGTGAGTTTTAAATAAACCAGAGGAGGTGTGTATATGAGTCTTTTTGCTGTGTAGTTACTAAAGATAATGAGGAGAAAAAAATTATTCCGGAGTACCAAAAAATATTAACAGCAAAGAAGAGTTACAGTTGAAATTATTTAAAAATTAATCAAGCTGTAATTTAAAGCTTGCTCCTTATGCAATAGTCCTTGTCTTTGCAGAATTTAAAACAAAAACGACAAAATGTAAAACCAACTAAGATGTTAAAATTATGAAGCGGTTTAAACTACGGTGTTTTCAACAATTATATTTCAACTCTGCTGTTTTCCAGGCTGATAATTCAGCTATGATCCCATCAACAATGATTTTTTGGACAACTTTGTGAGTTGACGTACGTACCCTGCAGGCAGAGTTTTGTCCATCTTTAAAAACTGCTGAAGGAAAATAAACTCCGGCCTGTTCCAAGACGTCAGAATAGTCTGACATTTAGCTGTGTTGAGGATTCTAAAAATATCTTGACCGTCCGCGAGAATAGTCTGAAATAGAACACATTTTTTTTTTAAATGCCAATATCATTAAATAATTGATCATGGCACTAAGTATAGAACAACGAGACAACATAGACTTAGACTAAAGAAAACTTTAGATCTAGAGACTATCCTGACAAAGTCGATGCAGGCATCATTTTGCTTTACAGACGACTTACAAACCACCTACCTACTTAAACAGGTTGCTTACTAAACACTTCCCTATATTACGTGTTAAACAGCAGAGGCGTAGCTAGGAGGGGGTAGGGGCGGACCGCACCGGGTGACACCATTTAGGGGGGTGATACCAAAGCAAAAAAATACAAAATATATAGAGAAAAATGATAATTCCACTTAAGTGATTAATTCGAGTGTTAAATAGTGTTTTAAGAGGTGCAAATCGAAGTTTGAGGAGGGTGGGGGGGGGGGTGCAAATCGAAAGTTTGAGGGGGGAGGTGCAAATCGAAAATTGAAAGTTTGTCACCGGGAAGGGTCGCTACGCCTCTGGGGGTGACCCCATTAAGTGCCGCACCGGGTGACAGCCGACCTCGCTACGCCACTGTTAAACAGTGTTTCTTTCGTATGGGGAGGGGGGTGTGGCGGACAAAAAATTTCGGGGAGGGGGGAGGGGTGGCGACACTAAAGACATGTACAAGCTTATATTGTCAATCCACATTCTATTTTGTTCGGTGGAGGGGTAGACGTACTTCCGGGGGGGGGGGGGGGGGGGAAGCACCCAGAAGGTATGCCTGAAAGAAACACTGACTACTAAGGCCTACCATCCTCTTACTTTTATCGGGTTAACTATTCACCACCTTCCTAATTTAAAGGTTACCTACTAGCCACTTCCATACATTATGTGTCAATTCACACCGATACTTACCACACCGTTGACAACAACGCCACCAGCTGCGATGATACCAAAACTTGTGACCAGTTTTGTCCTTGATGTTTTTATCATGGAACACACAACATCGCCATTCTACAGAGAAAGATCAGAAATTTGGAACGAGGGCATTAGATTTGATTTGTTTTATACTTTCAAAATTTCCATAAATACTGCAAATTAAATGCGTATAGTAGGTCTATTACTTTCTAATACTTATAATAATAAGCTATTCAACTTCACAGCGGTGTATGCCAATTAACTACAATTTTACAAACAATAATGCTTTAATTATAAGTGTAGTCTATACTAAAACTAGACCATAGGCATACATGGTATTTTTATAAATTCCACCCTGTTTATACTTTATAACACTCTAGTGACTAGAGTCTAGTCTATAAGCCTATTTAAAATATCGAATTTAGTAAAGTAAAAGTAAAGTACTCTTTCGAACCTTACGGTCCATGGTATAGGTAAAGAAGAGTTCACTTGTTTTAGTGACCCTAGCATATAAAGTGTGGTCAGCACTATACCCAGCTGGCTTTACCTTTCCCTAACGTGAGTCAGGTACCCATCAGAGCTGGGTAAACTCAGGGACGTCAAACGGAATTGAGACTGGGATCTGAACTCGAGACCTTCGGGATAGCAGTTCAACAATCTAATAATAGTATTTAGTATATTGGCCTTGTTTAGTAAATATAGGCCAATAAAGCCTATGTAATATCATATTTAATAAGCAATAAAAATAAAGATAAATCTATTTAGCCTATTATAGGCTACTTAATACAATAGGCCTTATAAAAAGGTCTAGATTTTCTAGATCAGTATATAGTACGTAGCCCTATACTTATAGGCCTACTATTACAACTAATACTTTATTAATGTAGTAGGGAGACTTTAAACTATGGGGAACTAAAATTTCCGGGGAGTCAGGGCACTTGGGGCGCTGGAAGTGCTTCGTGTCTGTGTGGGAGGGGGAAGGGGGTTTGCTCCGAAAAGATGCCTAAAATAACTTTCTTACCTTTATCCCGTAACGTCGTAGTCTTGAAGCGTAGCGCGCGCACGAATCCCACAGCTGATACCTCGTCAGTGGGAGTCTCTCCAGGGCGTCGCCTACAAAGACAAACGCCTCTCTGTTGGGTTCTTTTTCAGCGAGGTACCGATATCGTTTCATGAGCACGTCTTTTGGGGCTTCGTCTGACATGTTTTGTTGTTGTTGCTGTAGATAGGATGCGATCAGTCAAGACACAAACATTGATAAAAAATAAAATAATAATAACCCATCAAATCATATAGCTTTAGCTTCTAAATCTGCGATAGGAGCGATACATGTTATGGTAGATTACTATTCTCAACACATTCTTTCATTCGACTTATAGTAGATGCGACTGAAATTTAAAAATATAAAACAACTCTTTTATAAAACATATAGAGCTTTCATACAAAAACATTGAATGCTTGTAGACATATTGGTGTAACAAATACTGCTTTACTGTAAATGGCATTCTCGATTAACACATGGCCTGCTGTTACGCTTACATTAAAAATAATGGCCGCTTCTTAACGTCACTGTCGTCTCAAACTCTGCCTACGAGTAAGCAAACCTCAAAGACGTCTTAAAGACTGTAAAAATACGTCTTAAATATACGTCACTGACGTCTAAAAAAATCTGTAACATACGTCAGTATACGTCACTGCCGTTTTAAATATTACTGTCACTAAGGGTATTGCCATTTCATATATGACATGCTGTAAACTTACATCACTGACGACAACTCAAAAATAAAAGCGTCACAGAAGTATCAAACACTGACTTCACACGTCTGAAGTGTCGATCATTGCCTGCCATCTAATGTTTATTTTATACATGTCCCTCTACGTTATGTTGCATGTTATTTGCGCATTAACAAATCCAGCTTAGCAAAATATCGAGTGTAAGGAGTTCACGTTACGGTTAACTCGTGACAATTAGAAAGTCGAGCCCATTTATATAAACATTTCCTTTAAAAACACGTCAAACTATGGCTAGTTTACTGTTTTTTTTATACAACGGCAGATATCAATTAGATACGCATCGTTTTACAATCTGCATTTGAAGCGGTTCGTGCTGTTTTTGTAAAAACCTCTTCGTCCGAAACAATTAAATTAATTAAGTTGTTTTTGTTTTGTGTAGCTGTACACGTCAAAACAATTTTTATTTATCTAGAAGTAACTTTACAGACAGAATCAATTAAAATTTCATATTAGTAACATTTGTTTTAGCAAAATTGTGCTTTTATTCATTAGTAATAGTTCTCAGTCCTATTTATTTTAATAACTACACTATCATCTTGCAATCTATGTAAAAGACTAACCCCTCCTTTTTCACTTCTTATGTCGAACAATATTTACAAATAAAATGGTCCAGTCTCATGGATAGCCCAATTACGCGCTAAGTAAAGAAATTTAAGTTGTGCAAATGGAAGTAAAATAAAGCGGAAGTGATCTCCCTTAATTTTTCTCAAATATTATTATATAACACTAAGTAGGATGGCACTCGGGATATAGACATGATTTTTAATCAATTTTTAATTACTTAAACTTTTTGAAATATAATAGAATCTTGTAGAAAAATTAATTGCGCACCAAGTGAACAGCAAACAATTAGTACTTTATAAATTCATATTTTCTTTTTTTTTTTGAGAAATAGCAAAAAGCGTTAAGTACTACTTCCAGTTAACGGAAATTACTGAAAATTCGACAGATGGCAGAAAATTAGATCTTTGACTTATATGTGAAATTTCGTCTATCTATATGAAACAGTACTCAAGTCATAGGCTTTTGAAAAACCAAAAGTAGACAAAGTTTCACTTTTGGTTAACGGAAATCTCTGAAAAGTCAATATGAAATTTTATCAACCTAGCTGTAACGATACTCAAGTTATCGTGCTCACAGACATATATACATACACAAACACACACACACACAGATAAAATTGCAAAACTAAGATTTTCCGACTCAGTGAGGTGTAAAACGTCGAGATTTGTGAAAAATCTTTTTTTTTTTTTTTTTTTTTGCAGGATATGCAGGACTTCCTCTATACTTCGTATACGAGAAAGTAAAAATAATGTCTAAACGGGCCTTTGGCTAACAAGCTTAGAGTTAAAGTGAGAAAAGAATTGTTAAAATAGTTGGAAGTACTGTAGTATTTCGTTAAATCTACTTACAAAATAATTATACAGGGGGGGGGGGGGGGCGCTTGTGAGTAATGATGACGCGATAAACAAACAAAGTGTGTCATTTTTTTTATTTAACAGAAAATGCAAGCACGCACACACACACATACACAAACAAATCATGTATATGCTGTATTTCCATGACAACCAAAATTGTTTTCAACACCTTTTTTTTCTTTGCTATTTAATACATATTTTCATGGCCAAACTTTGTAAAAGTATTCAAATTGCTTTGGATCTTAAATTCTAAAAAATAGAAAAAAAAACGGAGAATATCCCCTTAAACCCGAACACTTAGCCTTACTTTTTCAAAGTATATCAACAGGGTTAATCTCCTAGTGCACATGTTGGGCTGGGGATTAATGTACAGTGGTAATAAAACGGGGCAATACTCTACTCCCAGTGATAAGGTGCTTTGTATATATATATATATATATATATATATATATATATATATATATATATATATATATATATATATATATATATATATATATATACATATATATATATATACATTATACACACAGACACACATATATATATATATATATATACAAATATATATATATATATATATATATATATATATATATATATATATATATATATATATATATATATATATATATATATATATATATATATATATATATATATATATATATATATATATGTTAATATATAAAAGACCATGTGCGCGATTCTCTCTCCCTCTCTCTGTCCGTAAAATATTTTTCACAGACTATCATATCAGTGTCTTCAGCGATATATGGAGAACTTGATACGGACTTTTATTCAAAATAATAGATGTTTTAAATGTATAAACAAAATTTTATTTAAAGAAGAAAAATAAAAAATAAAGGCGAATTCGAATGTAGAAAAAACATATTTAATTATGCAACCGGAAAAAGTCTTTATAGTTGTGACAAGAACGCGATTACCAATGACGTCACAGATGTTTACACGAAGGAATGATCACAAAACGATTTTAGAATATAAAGACATGAACTATTTAATTCAAATTTGATTTAGGTCTACTTACGCTATGAAATGTATACAATACAATTTTCTTGACATAAACTTATAAAATTTACTTTATTTGGATTCTAGATCTAAAAATCTAGATCTAGAGAAAAAAAAACTAGACTTAGTCTTAGGTACTAACGGAAATAACTGAGCCCCTGGAACTTTAAAAGCCCAACCAAGCTCACATCAGTACCTGACATTAAGAATGAAAGGCGGCTAGAAAAGCAAAGTACCCACGCCATACCCTCGTATGTCAAAGGTAAAAAAATAACGTGAGGACTACTTCTGCTACATTATTGATCGTCAGTTTAGAAACGGTAACATTTAAGGTGGGACTGGACAATTGCATTGGATTTTTTCAAGATAATGAAACATTATTAAAAAAAATATCTTTAGGTACAACAATTTTTGTAATCATTTAATTCTATAAACATCTTCATTTTCTAAAATTGTTGCTTCTTAAATTGGTCTTATTTTCATCTCAGTGAAAGTCGCCGACGCATAGTAATTTGTGGTAGGGTACCAGGTCAGTCCCTTGGCGTATTCCGTGTTGCCATAAAGTCCGTTGAGATTTGAGACGTGACATGTGTCGTACCACCAGGCGCCGTGGTACAGCTCAGCGCAGTTTCCGGTGTAAATGTCGTTGTCCTTGTCGAACGTTGTGAACTTCATGTTGTTGTGTCTAGCTGTCAGTGCATCTCCCGCGTTGCCTGAGTAACCGCTGACCTTTAACCTAAAACCTTCCAACTCTCCATATACACGAAACCTTGAATATTTAGCAAAGTAGTCGATGTTGTTAAATTTAAAATCGACCCTCAGCTCGTATCGTCTCTGTGACGTCAGACGGTGTATGTTCTCGTTGCCCAGCCAAAATTCTCCGACATCCACATCTCCAAACCCATACTTGTACTCCTCCCACCCCCGATAGAAATCTGTTTGTCCGTTGAATCTTCTCTGTATCACCGTCCATCCTCCCCCGTCTGTCTGTGTGTCACACATCACCTCGAGTCCACTTGACAGGATGACCACTGGTCTGGGTGAAGAACTGACCACATCCCTGCATGTGTCTGGTGCAGTTGGGCAAGACAAAGCTAGAGTTGCCTGCACTGTTTTGTTGTTGGTATATCCTGAAAACATACGAGAATTGTTTTAAAGACACATCAGATTGTTTTTTAAACTCTTGCTTGAAAAAAAAAGAATTAGTAAAAATCATACGAGTTTAAGTCACATTTACCTTCATTTTTTAAAAATTGTTATTTTAATTAAATGAACCGTGTGGATTTTCAATTTACAAAATAAATAAAATCACAACTGTTTTTCTAACAGTAAAAAACATTTTTTTAATAATATGTAAATATTGCATACAAATCTAGCTGTAGTAATAAACAAAAAAAATGCGTAAGTTATGTTAATTGTATATACAGATCAATATATTTCTCTCTTACTTTATTTTTATAATTGTATTTTTTAATCGTGATTTCTACACTTTTGTTAGCAATAAGTGATTTTGTTTATACGCCCATTTAGGCGCTTGTGATAACAATACACACTACAGTTCAGGTTGTACGCATTGTTTATTTTTCCATGAGGTCCACACCCTAAAGTGAAGGAAGTTTGACCTTGTCTTTCCAGGATGTAATCGAACGTCAGTAGACAGGTCGGATATAACATTAAATTAAAGCGGATGTAGGCTACCGATAGGGTCGGTAAGTAGGTCAATAAACAGTTCTATGGCTCATGCAGGTTTTATTGAGCCGTAGAACTGTTTATTGACCTACTTACCAGCCCTATAGATGTCATAATTTTTATTCCGCTTGCAGATAGTTAGTTTTAGTGTTTAAAAATCGCTTGACAAAAAAACAATCACTTTAAAGGAAAACCAAAACGAGTCACTAATAGTACTTTTAACATAATTGTTCTAAAATATTAAATATTTTATTATTTCATTGCATTTTTAACGGATCTTAACTAATGTACAAAGGTTTTTTTTAAATATGTTCGGTTAAAGTGAGTGAAATATGAATCGCAAGTTTTCACCACCACAAAACAAGTCGGGATGGTAGAATTTAAGTTCAAACTTCTTCTTCGTACTTAATTGTAATCTTGGTAGGGATCCCCTCCAACACAATTAAGTATTACGTGTCAACCTGCTATGTACCATATAGGCAGTTGACTCCAATTTCAGCTAGCTCTTCTTTTTTATTTTACTTATTTTGTCTCACCAAGAAACAATTACGAGGCAGAAATTGCTTAATGCCGAAGCATTTCAAGAAAATCTGGCAGTGACTCATATTTCACATTATATATATATATATATATATATATATATATATATATATATATATATATATATATATATATATATATAATATATATATATATATATATAATATATATATATATTAAGAAATAAATTCAAAATTTTCATTTTTTAGAACATCTGCTCAAAAGCAAGCAGACTAGGATATTTCTGAATGTGTTAAACTAAAATATTATTCAATCGAGAAATACATACCATAGGAATCGTCTGCATGAATGTTTTGAAAAACTGTGACCAGGCAGCAAATGAAACAAAACTGGTAGAACATTTTCAATTTGCCAGTAGCTGATAGGATCACGGAATGTTGTATTGTCGGACTAACTTCACGTTATATACGTAAATCCCGGATGTGTCTTGCAACCCAGAAAAATTCGCGGATGTGCACTACTAAAAAAACTGACGTCATGTTTAGATAATAAAAATTGGATATGTTTACACAACGAAACGATTGGCTAAATCATTGGCTTGTGAATCTAGGTCTAGTAAACATTTTGTTTTAAGTTACTGAAATCCTTATCACTTATAGATAAGATTATTTCTTAGAAAATAAGCCTTAGCGTGTCTAGTAAAATTTTTCCTTTGTAATTTACAGAAAAAAACTTACTTTCTATAGATCTAGATAGGATGATTTGTCTATGGTAAGTCTAAGTAAGAGTGTCTTTATACCAGTAGTCAGACTTTGACGAGATAAAAAGTTTAAATTATGGAAATATTGAAAGGATATTATGAGAAAAGTATAATAATTTTGCTTTGAATCTAGATATGAACACGACGTTCTTTTTACTAAATTTGTAAAATGTATTAATGGGCGAGAAACAAATTCCATGTAGTCTAGCAAGAATACCATATTGATTTAAAAAAAAGTATTCACATAAGGGTTTTTAGTACGATAATACGTTAGAAGGGACTGTGTATTCGTTACTAGTACTTCATTTGTTACTTAGCCAAAGTGTTTGTTGCTGAGCCAAAGTGTTTGTTGCTGAGCCAACGTGTTTGTTGTTGTCCTGAGCCAAAGTGTTTGTTGTTGACCTGAGCCAAAGTGTTTGTTGTTGACCTGAGCCAAAGTGTTTGTTGTTGACCTGAGCCAAAGTGTTTGTTGTTGACCTGAGCCAAAGTGTTTGTTGTTGACCTGAGCCAACGTGTTTGTTGTTGTCCTGAGCCAAAGTGTTTGTTGTTGACCTGAGCCAAAGTGTTTGTTGTTGACCTGAGCCAAAGTGTTTGTTGTTGACCTGAGCCAAAGTGTTTGTTGTTGACCTGAGCCAAAGTGTTTGTTGTTGTCCTGAGCCAAAGTGTTTGTTGTTGTCCTGAGCCAACGTGTTTGTTGTTGACCTGAGCCAAAGTGTTTGTTGTTGTCCTGAGCCAAAGTGTTTGTTGTTGACCTGAGCCAAAGTGTTTGTTGTTGACCTGAGCCAAAGTGTTTGTTGTTGACCTGAGCCAAAGTGTTTGTTGTTGACCTGAGCCAAAGTGTTTGTTGTTGACCTGAGCCAAAGTGTTTGTTGTTGACCTGAGCCAAAGTGTTTGTTGTTGACCTGAGCCAAAGTGTTTGTTGTTGACCTGAGCCAAAGTGTTTGTTGTTGTCCTGAGCCAAAGTGTTTGTTGTTGTCCTGAGCCAAAGTGTTTGTTGCTGAGCCAAAGTGTTTGTTGCTAAGCCAAAGTGTTCGTTGCTAAGCCAAAGTGTTCGTTGCTAAGCCAAAGTGTTTGTTGCTGAGCTGAGCCAAAGTGTTTGTTGCTGAGCCAACGTGTTTGTTACTAAGCCAAAGTGTTTCTAAGCCAAAGTGTTTGTTCCATTTGTCTTCTTAAAACAAAACTCTCGTATCCTCCGAAATAACCCGTACTATATTGTTTAAGATGGTATCCTTTAAAAATTTTAAATTATTCGATCATTGACGTTTCGCGGGGGAAAAATAATTACAATCTACATTAGTTAACTTAATTAATTGGTTGGTTTTTTAAGTATTGTAATTGTGCGAAAGAAATCGAAATCGATATTTTCATTAATCTCGACTTACTGTGTTTATGTATGTGTATGTGTGTGTGTGTCTGTGAACACGATAACTTGAGTACCGTTACAGCTAGTTTGACAAAATTTCATTTATAAGTATTAGATTAAATTTGTAGATCTGTATTAATTTTCCAGCGATTTCCGGTAACCGGAAGTGGAACTTATTCTGCTTTCGGATTTCAAAGCCTATAACTCAAGTACTGCTTCAGTTATTTAGACGAAATTTCACATAGGTCTATATGTAAAATTGGGTCACGTGGAATATTATTTATGAGAACGCCTTTAGGAACGTGAAATCATAGAAACTATGAGAAGTCAGGTAAGAAATAATACCCACTGGAGGTCAATCAACATATACGGGAGGTTATGAAAGACATAACACACCCATTTGAGGTCAGGTAACACATAACACACCTATTGGTGGTCAGGTAAGACATAACACACCCATGGGAGGTTAGGTAAGATATAACACGTCCATGGGGGGCGGGTTAGGTAAGAAAATACGTGCATTCGAGGTAAGGTAAGACATAACACACCCATGGGTGGTCAGGTAAGACATAACACACCCATGGGTGGTCAGGTAAGACATAACACACCCATGGGAATTTAGGTGAAATATAACACACCCATAGGAGGTTAAGTAAGACAAAATGCACATGGTAGGTCAGGTAAGAAAATACCTGCATTAGAGGTCAGGTAACATCAACACGCCCACAGGATGTCAGGTAAGACATAACACGCCCACAGGATGTCAGGTAAGAACGCAGATGACGTATATCGATACGGTAAGTTACTATGTACTCGAGTTTATCTCTACCACATGTACTACATCAACCCCGGAGGTTTTAATGCGCATGTTGTTTGAGATTGCCGGTCTGATATTTTTATTTTAACCAGTAGCTTGTGAGACGCGTGAACCAGGATATGACGCGAGACACGGTTCTCTTTGTGTTCGTGTTGTCTCGCGGTGTCGCGTCGTCGGTTCGGAGAGAAACTAGGGTATCTTAATAATCAGAGTTTCTTCCAAGCATTCCGCCTCCCCCCCTCCCCCGAAGAAAGTCTACCCCCCCCCCCCACCCCGAACGAGATAGATTTTATATAGTAAACATACACTTTTACTAGTGTCCGCACCCCCCCCCCCCCCCCGAAAAATGTTGACCGCCCTCCCCCTCCGTAAATATCAAGTGCCCCCCCCCCCCCCCCGGAGAAAAAAGTCTAGAAGAAACACTGATCTTAACTAAAATTCTTGACCTCTATGTGTTTTCCAGAAGAAAAAAAAGAGCTTGACAGAAAATAAAAATATGTACTAAACGTCAATAACCCGGAACTTTCTGCCCCCTACCCCCACCTCCTCCCCGAAAACTGTTACTGTGAAACATATATTCACAACGACACGAGAACACAAGATAAAAAAAATTTCACAACACATGGTAGTCAATATTTGTATATGTTTAATTAAACAATTGATTTAATCACGGTTGTACTGTGGTATTATTGCAACAGTATACGTTTTCCATTAATATATAAATAAACAAAAGCATTTTGTGTACTTTAAAAAAGTAATTTACGATGAGATAAATGTAATTCACAAACTGGACAGCATTTTAAAAATATGTCTCCATAGTCTAAATTTCAATTGAAATCCAAGCAAAAAGCCTGCAGTGTTTCTTTCAGACATTTTTCTCCGGGCGGGGGTGGGGAAGGTCAAGGGTGACAATATTTCGGGGTAGGGGTGGACTAAGTTTTCGGGGGGGGGGGGGGGGTGGGGGCGGACACTGGTAAAAATATTTTTTTTCAATATAAATATCATTTTGTTCGGGAAGAAACTCTGAAAGCCGGGGCCATAAGATTAGAAGAGCCAGGTGTTGCCCCTTGTATCAGCCCCCCCCCCTCTCCCCACACAGCTAATTGACCCAAGGGACAGAGCCTGCCTGTACAGCTTGGAATCAGCAGTGTCACTGAATCTTCCGAAAGGAAGTCACATGGGCTAAGGGGCTCTACTCTTTTTATATTTCAGAGTTTTCTCTTGCAGTCCCCAACAGCCGAGACACATTTGCCTGAAGACTCGAGAACTTGGGTCAAATTGGGTTAGCAATTTTGTGCTTGCCTGCCCGATGGCATTTTATGCGTAACTTAACATACATCAGTAGGCATGTCATCAATCAGTATCATTGTAAAGTATACATTTATTCAATGTTTGGTTTAAGGCTGTGAGAAGACGAGTTTGAATTTTTAGTACAGGTTTTGAGATCGTGTTTCACTATTGGTGCACGCTGCAATCAGGGGCGGAACTACAGTGCCGCCAGACCCCGCAATGCGGGGGGACACACGTCATTTAGGGGCCCACAGCCGACCATAATAAATGTTTTATAGTTAAATTGTTTTTTTTTATTTTCTTTCATCTTTTGGCTTGATGGTTGTTTTGTAAAAAGATCACCGTAGCTGCGGTTGGATTATCTTTATTCTATAGACATCTTCTCATGCTCTTGTATATTCTTTTTATCTTTGTTTTTAAACCACTGTGAAAGCCGAGTCCTCTTTCTCCTATAATAAAACTTATCAAAGATAAGCAAACGTTCAAACCACTTTCTTGACTTATTTCCCTTCTTTAAATTGTCAATGGGGGGGGGGGGGGGGGTGCTCATACGATCCTTTTAATAGATTTGTACTAAACAAATTAAAAAACAATTACTTCTCCTTATTATTATTTTTTATAAAGTACTTACTAAAGAATGACATTGTATGAAAAGGAAATGTTTTAAAAATAAATTAATAATATAAATAGGAAAAAAATAAAAATAAACATAACACGAGACACCATTATTTATACAAAGCTTTCACGGTTTATATACTTTTGACCGACTTTAGGTGAAAAGGTCTTATAGCAAAAAATTTTTAAAAAATTTCCAAATAGACTAATGCGCTCACACACATGGAAAAGAAAACAACTTTTTCCAAAACCCGAACAGGCCAGCAATGAGTATCCTATGTTCGTATTTTGTGTTTGTATATATATATATATATATATATATATATATATATATATATATATATATATATATATATATATATATATATATATATATATATATATATATATATATATATATATATATATATATATATATATATATATATATATATTTATTTATTTATTTATTTATTTATTTATTTATTTATTTATTTATTTATTTATTTATTTATTTATTTATTTATTTATTTATTTATTTATTTATTTATTTATTTATTTATTTATATATATATATATAGGGGGGGGCTAAAACATTTTTATGCGGGGTGGCCCTTTTTTTCTAGTTCCGCCACTGGCTGCAATGAGAATGTGTAGGTTATATGTATGTGTACCTCTTCTGTATCAAGTACCTACGCTAGACAATAGGAAATAACTTATATTTTGTGTTTTTGTACGGCCTGAAAGAAAATAATTTCATTTTGTTTTGAAATGCAAGTAAATTAAGACCGTGCGTTTAAAAACAAAACAAGTAAATATATTTTTTACGTTGCGTTTCTTTACATAAAATATTAATAAGCATACATAGACAGAGTGATTACGTTGATAAAAATCAAATTGTGATTGTAGCATTTTGAAAGAAAGCTTCCTGTAATAAGGTTGCTAGATTAATATTTTATTACATATGTGTTGTATAAACTCAGCTAAACTACAAATATAATGTATAAGCTCTTCTACACTTTTCCTAACTAAATCGGTCTAATCTTCAGCTCTGCCGACGTCGCACTCGCGTAGTAATTTGTCGTTGTGACCCAGGTCAGTCCCTTGGCGTACTCGGTGTTTCCCCACAGTCCGTTCAGATTTGAGCTGTGACATCCTCCGTACCACCAGGCGCCGTGGAAGAGCTCCGCGCAGTTGTTTGTATGGATGTCGTTGTCCTTGTCGAACGTGCTGAATTTCTGGTTGTTGTGTACGTTTATCAGAGAATCCCCAGCGTTACCTGAGTAACCGCTGACCTTTAACCTATAACCTTCCGATTCTCCGTACACGCGAAACCTTGAATATTTAGCGAAGTAGTCCGTGTTGTTAAATTTAAAATCGACCCTCAGCTCGTATCGTCTTTGTGACGTCAGACGGTGAATGTTCTCGTTGCCCAGCCAAAATTCTCCGACATCCACATCTCCGAACCCATACTTGTACTCCTCCCACCCCCGATAGAAATCTGTTTGTCCGTTGAATCTTCTCTGTATCACCGTCCATCCTCCCCCGTCTGTTTGTGTGTCACACATCACCTCAAGTCCACTTGACAGGATGACCACTGGTCTGGGTGAAGAACTGACCACATCCCGGCACGTGTCTGGTGCCGTTGGGAAGAACAGTTCTAGAGCTGCATGCACTGTTTTGTTGTTTACATAACCTTTCAGACAGAGGAACAAAACATAAATTAACGACAAGTTTGTTGTGGCCAGAAAAAAAATGTAAATATTCACCAAAGACAAATACTATTGTTGTCATTGCTTGTGAAAACATAAAAATTGTTCTGTGTTGTACCTATTTAAATTTTATTCTGAAAGCGAATTTCCCCAGATATCGAAAGAATGTAACTTACTCTTATCGTAATACAGTGTAACAAATTGTCACACTGAAAAGTTCGAAACCTGGGTTCCAACCCTGCTAAAACTATTTCTTTAAAACATCCATTTATCAATTAAGTGGCGTTTTATAGTGGACTTTGCAACTAAATGCCTAATTGCATATTAACAAAAAAAAAACGTGAAAATATTATTAAAAAATTATAAAACGTAATTTCAAAACCAGGCCTAAAAAACATGAATATAAAGTTGATCAACGTACCGATAGGGCTAGCTGCACAGATGGTTTGAAAAACTGAGAACAGGCAGAAAACGAAACAAAATTTTACGAACATTTTAAAACCAGTAAGCGTATTTAAAATGTTAATTCGGGTTATTTTACGGACTAGTTTCAAGCGCTTGTTATATACGTTAGAACCGGATGTTTTTGGTCTACCGAGAAATCAGAGACGGATATGAAATAATTTGTAAATAAAGGATTGACATCTACAGTCAGATTGTTTACACAACTGATATGTCTACACAACTAAATGCGCAGTTGCGTCGCTAGGTCGGATGATTTATATATATATATATATATATATATATATATATATATATATATATATATATATATATATATATATATATATATATATATATATATATATATATGTATATATATATATATATATATATATATATTTCATATTTATATAACATTAATTATCATAATGATTAAAATGAATTTTTGTTTTAAAACTTTAAGCTGACAAAAACGGGTCAATATGTGGCTAGCCAACCAGGTTTATTTATCTGATAATCGCTTTTTTTATTGTTTATGGTTTCCATTATTCATGTTCCATTTTTGTCTCTCACATTTTTAAACCTCTATTTATTTACAATGGATAAATACATTGATTTTAGACACATATCACACAACTTTTAACAGGAATAGAAAAATAACCCATTAAACATATCACACAGCATAGATAACCAATCAAATGTTCAACTATCGTTCTACTGGTGTCACTCACCTACCTCCACTTACTTACAAACACACACACACTTGCATGCACACACACACACACGAAAGCTTTTGTATAATAAGTTGCTTAATCGAATGTTATGTAGATTTAAATTTTCCATTGTGATGTCACTCCAATTTATTTCGATGGACTGTGTATTTGGTGTCACCCCCCCCCCCACCCAAACGTTTTGTTGAAAGTCGTTAATGTGTGCAAACATATTAATCCACCTAGAAATAGCATTTAGGGCCTAACTCTATCTGTTATTAATTCAAGTGGAAAAATCATTCTATTTGTTGTAAATTATTAAATTTGGTGTCACCCCACAGTTATTACAGTTCTTGAGAAACCCTTTTCCTCAGGCAAATTTTGCGACGTTTAGTTGGTGTCCCCCCCCCCCCACCCGGTGATAGCCTTAAACTGTCCACAGATAAAACTAACGTTTGTCGTGTATAGTCGGTTATAAAAACAGCAGAATGTAGTATTGTTTTCTAAAAGAGTCAAAGTTCAGGTCTATGTATAGGCTAATTCTCTTAAGAGTTTGCACGATAATGCCTGTTGTGTTATTATTACGTACGGGCCCTATTCGACCACCTCTACTGAATACCGCTGCCTGTAAAGTATGAAAGGACTTAGGGCCTTTTTGTAACTTTAAATTATTTCTACAGTAGAAAAGAAACTGGATTTTCTTTTTTACTTTCTCGTATATACGAAGTATAGAGAAAGTCTTGTAATCGTGCAAAAAAAAAATCGAGATTTTTACAAATCTCGACGTTTTACACCTCACTGATACGGAAAAACATAATTTTGCAATCTTGTCCGTATGTCTGTGTGTCTGTCTGTCTGTGTGTCCGTGTGTAAACACGATAACTTGAGTACCGTTACAGCTAGGTTGATGAAATTTCATATATAAGTATTTTATCAAAATCGTAGATCCGTATCAATTTTTGAGCGATTTCCGATAACCGGAAGTGTTACTTTTCCTACTTTGAAGTTTTCAAAAGCCTATAACTTGAGTACTATTTCAGATAGAAAAATGTAATTTCACATGTTAGTAAAATATCTAATTCTCTACCTTCTGTTAAATTTTGAGTAATTTCCGTTGAACGGAAGTAGTAATTTACGCTACTTCCGATTTCTCAAAAAACGCATGTAAATTTTTAAAGTACTAATAATATTGCGCACTATTATGCACTTTTTTATTTGGCGTTCACTTGGTGTGCAATTTATTTGTCTACGAGATTTTATTCTATTTTTAAAACTTTAAGTATTTAAAATGGATATATATATATATATATATATATATATATATATATATATATATATATATATATATATATATATATATATATATATATATATACTAGCTGCATACCTGTACTGCGTCACAGTAAATCTTTTTCAAATGTACCAACTTGGGTACAAGACAAATCTAAACACAACACAAACACAACACAAACACAACACAAACTCAACACAGCACAACACAAAACAAACAAAACAAAAACACAACACAAACGCAACACAACACAAACGCAACACAACACAAACACAAAATAAACAAAACACAAACACAAACACAAACACAACACAAACACAACACAAACACAACACAAACACAATCACAATAAAAAACACAAACACAACACAAACACAACACAAACACAACACAAACACAACACAAACACAACACAAACACAACACAAACACAACACAAACACAACACAAACACAACACAAACACAACACAAACACAACACAAACACAACACAAACACAACACAAACACAACACAAACACAACACAAACACAACACAAACACAACACAAACACAACACAAACACAACACAAACACAACACAAACACAACACAAACACAACACAAACACAACACAAACACAACACAAACACAACACAAACACAACACAACACCAACACAACACCAACACAAACACAACACAAACACAACACAAACACAACACAAACACAACACAAACACAACACAAACACAACACAAACACAACACAAACACAACACAAACACAACACAACACAGCACAACACAAAACAAACAAAACAAAAACACAACACAAACGCAACACAACACAAACACAAAATAAACAAAACACAAACACAAACACAAACACAACACAAACACAACACAAACACAACACAAACACAATCACAATAAAAAACACAAACGTAACACACAATCACAAACACAAAAGAAATAAACCGGGAGTGATCTCCCCTAAACTTTCTCGAATATTCTAATATAAAACTACTCGGGATGGCAACTCATGACATAGACAATATTTGTAATCCATTTTTAATTATTTAAACTTTTTATAATAGAATGGAATCTTGAAAAAAAAAGAATTGCACACCAAGTGACGCCTAATAAAATGTGCATAATAGTGCGCAATATTATGAGCACTTTATAAATTTACATGCGTTTTTTGAGAAATCGGAAATAGCGTAAATTACTACTTCCGGTCAACGGAAATTACTCAAAATTTGACAGAAGGTAGAGAATTAGATCTTTTACTTACATGTGAAATTTCATTTATCTATCTGAAATAGTACTCAAGGTATACGCTTTTTAAAAATTCAAAGTAGAAAAAGTACCACTTCCGGTTATCGGAAATCGCTCAAAAGTTGATACGGATCGGATCTACGATTTTGATAAAATACTTATATATGAAATTTCATCAACCTAGATGTTACGGTTCTCAAGTTATCGTGTTTACACACAGACACACACACACACAGACACACATAAACACACACAGACATACGGACAAGATTGCAAAATTATGTTTTTCCGTATCAGTGAGGTGTAAAACATCGAGATTTGTAAAACTCTCGATTTTGTTTTTTCACGATTACAATACTTTCTCTATACTTCGTATATATGAGAAAGTAAAATCAAACGCAAATAAAAACACAAATGCAAACACAAACAGAATGCAAACACAAATGCAAACGCAAAAAAATAGAAAGGAAAAAAATTCATAAAAAACGTTTTAATAACAAGCTTTTATGTAACAATGCACTAAAAAGTAGAAAATAAATTATAGACTACTATTTAAATAACTATAAAGAAAAGCGTGGGTCACTTTAGTATCTATTGGATACCTTTACTAATGTTAAGGAAGACACCCACGCTTTTCTTTATAGTTATTTAAATAGCAGTCTATAATTTATTTTCTACTTTTTAGTGCATTGTTACATTAAAGCTTGTTATTAAAACGTTTTTTATGAATTTTTTTTTCAGTACTTTACATGTTTTATTTACAATAGAGTTACATGACTAAAAACCATTGCGCGCCTACTGAACATCACGTTCAGTAGGCGCGCAATGGTTTTTGAACGCAGCCATTACGTGATGGCGCAGCTATTGAAGGTGATGACGCGTGTGGTGTGGTTGGCTAGACATGCCTACTAATTCGGTCCAAATTTTAATTAATTAATAAAAAATTAATTAGGCATCCAATTAAGTCAAATTTATTTTCAGATTGCATTGTCTTCATGTCTTGACCCACGTGCCAACTGTGAATCGTGTCGGTCAAGTAGAAGTTTCCGAATTTTCACTCCTGCGTTTCTATCTAGACAGACTGACGACTGACGACAGAGGAAGTGAGTTAAATAAAAGCTTGTAAAAACAAACACAACACTCATAACATAAACACAACTAAAATGCAAACATAAACGCTTAGTGCTCACAGTCTAGCCCGTGGCGCCAAATCGCACCCTTTCGAGCGCCGGCGAACGCGCCTGATTCAGTGAACGACTATAAAATCCTAGCTTGTCCGAAAACCGAAAGATAGAATAATAATTAGTAAACAGTAAGTTCAGTGTATAAAATAAAAAGGCAGTATTTAAAATATTCGTGTTTTACCTACCATATTGCACTTTGTCAATTCATTCTTTTTTTTTCAGTACTTAAAATGTAAAAAATATTTACAATAGAGTTTCATGACTAAAAGCATTGCGCACCTAATGAGCGTGATGACGCGTGTATAATAGTGCGAAATAGTTTATTAAAAATTATAATTAGTAAACAGTACGTTCAGTGAATAAAATAAATAAAAGCCTTTTGTTAACCCATGCTAATTATAATATTCCATCAAAATTGCCCTCTTACACATCCGTTGAATTTGCATTCACATTTTGCTAAATATAGTATTCCCACAATAATTCCCTCTTGGAAATTTTGCATTCACATGTTTTATATTAGCGTGAGTTGAATTTATTTGTAAATTACCTCCATTGGCAAAATTACAAAACATTTTAATTAATTAGTTTTTTCGACCCTATTGTTATTAATATGTATCCAATATTTCTAGGAATCTAAACGAAAATCATATTTGACATTGATCCGTTTAATGTTTTAG